TGTTTGGAGACAGGGTCTTATTCTGTCACCCAGGCTGCAGTGCAATGGCACGATCTGGGCTCACTGCAGCCTCAACCTCCTGGGCTCAGGTGATCCTCCCACATTAGCCTCCCAAGTAGCTGGGACTGCAGGTGTGTGATCACGCCCGACTAATTTTTGTATTTTTTTCTTAGAGACGGGGTTTCACCATGTTGCCCAGGCTGGTCTCGAACTGCTGGATTCAAGTGATCCACTGGTCTTGGCCTCCGAAAGTGCTGGAATTACAGGTGTGAGCCACCACACCCAGCCCACCCCTTGCTTTGATACTGAATAGATTCAGTAGCTTTTCTACGGACAAAAAATTCTACTCCCTCAAAAGAAAATGATCCATTGACATTAGCCTCCTTAAGACCCAGGTGTGGTTCTTAATCTTCTTTCCCACTTGATCACTAATTTCCACGGCTGTCTGGGCACTGATGTAAGTAACTACCCAGAGTGGTTGCTCATTTCTCACAGCAATGTGTGGAGGTGATGTGTTTGTTCTTATTCATTTGTTCATTCATTCATTTTTTTTTCTCCAACAGCCCTAGGAAGAAGAACCACTATAGTGTTAACTGTAATGGGCAGAATGGCCTTTGAGTCACCCTTCCTGTGGCCTAACACTTGGGCACTGTCACTTAAGAGGCCCCTCATGTCTACTCAGGGGGTGATTAAAGAACATGCTAAATTACCTGGTAATTTGGGGGTGTAAATACATGAAAGCATGTTTAAAATTCTAATTTGTATGTTTTTGGTGGACTTTGTGTAGTTTCTTTTTTTTGGGTGACGAAGTTTTGTTCTTGTCACCCAGGCTGAAGTGCAGTGGCATGATCGGGGCTCACTGCAACCTCTAACTCTTGGGTTCAAGCAATTCTTCTGACTCAGCCTCCCCTGTAGTTGGAATTACAGACACATGCCACCATGTCCGGCTAATTTTTGTATTTGTAGTAGAGATGGGGTTTCGCCATGTTTGTAAGGTTGGTCTTGAACTCCTGATGTCAGGTGATCCACCCGCCTTGGCCTCCCAAAGTGCTGGGATTACAGGTGTGAGCCACCATTCCCAGCCGACTTTGTGTTATTTCTGTGTGTGTATGTGGGCTTACAGAACTCATGTATGCTCACTGTGAAATATTTCAACACTGCAGATGTATGTGAGGTAGAGAGTGGGAATCCTCAATGATGAGAAACCACCACCCATCCCCCAAACTGGAGACCACTGCTAATCCTTTCATTCTATGCATAAGACAACACTGTGTGTACTGTAATTTTACAGATGATGTCAATGTAAAATAGCATGAATCTGGCTCTGGATCTCAACTTTTTTCTATGCATAATTAAGTGTATTTAAAATGATTTAAAATAAATTATGAGTCATACCTCAGCCTTTCTTAACCAGTGAGATGAAATGTGATGTGTCAAAATTGAGTTAAATCCATATTCTCCGTGGATGTGCTTTTGACTTGCACATAAGGAAAAGCAGGCAGGCAAAAGTGAGGCAGTTTCACACACTGTATTGACATTCAACAACGAGAAGGTCAGAGTAGGGAGTTGATGTCAATATGTTCATCCCGTACTGCAATAAAGCTGTCCCGGCAACTGCAATCCCAGCTGCCATTTTCCCTCCTTTGGGTGAGAAATGAGCCATTCAGACCCTCAGCTCTTTAGCTATGAAAACACCATGCTTTAAGAAAGATTTGGTTTTCAATATCAATATAATCTAGGTTTCAGGTTTGGAAGATGAAATTTCCACACCAGATACGGCTTTATTTGACAAAAAACAGTAAGAGATGACAGCTGAGATTTCTGCCACATGAAAATTACCGAATAATTGCATGGCAGGTGTCATCATTCTGAATATCATAAAGTGAGTTTAGCACTCCATTTTGCTTTCCAGTATTTTACTGGGGATGCTTTTCTTAGGGTTATCACTAGCAGTTTTAAATGTTGGGAAAAATGTAAAAACACAGTAAACATAAACAACAGTGGAAAAGGTAACACTTCACGATAACATTGCCCTACGTATGTTCCATTTTCTCTCAGGGAAACTACCCTAGAATGGGCAGAATCCTTCCAAAACAGGAGCCCGCCATGACCTCAACTCCTACAGGCCGATATGTTTTAATTCTGCCAGACCCACTAAGTGTCAAGTTTTTAAAAGTCGGGTTTGGAAAAAATGAGAGAATTTAAAAAATTAACAACTATTTCACAGTTGGTTCCTATCTCTCCTCAGTATTACCCAATTTATATTTTATGTTGGATTTCCATTCATTCCCCAAGCGCTTTCACAGAGCGGCCTGCCAGAGGCTGTTAGCACACACCCTTCACAAATGGAGAAGCAGCGGTATTCAGATTCACCAGGAGCTGGACTGGCATTTGCACTCACTCAGTTCACTTGGTGGCTGGCAAGCTTCTCTGCACTCTGAGTCGTGGTCACTTCCCTTCAGAATAGAATGTGGGGAACGACCTGAAGGGATTGTGATAAAAAAAGATTGTCTTTGATGTTGGGTGGGATATGCAAATCTGAATGAGAATAGGGTGCCTCAGTACTGTCAGAGTGTGCTGTGTTTTATTTGGGAAACGAGACAAAATCTTCCCATGATCAGCCATTCCATGTGACATCCCAACCCACACTCCGCTACTGACATTTTATCTCCCACTGAACAGCCCGGCTGTTGTAACATTTTCAGGATTCTTAATTTATGTCTTGCAGGATCTAAAATCAGATGGCAGGAACTTTAAGAAAATAACCAGTGTTGACAGGCACCTTATAAAAGAAGCTGGTACACCTTAGTGCTGCTAAAAGTTCGAGAATATTCTTTAGTTTCTTCTTCCAAAATATGTCCAGAAGTCAGTGGGATGGAGACAGTAGCTGTCTGAAATCATTTAATTTCTCTTTTCAATCTAAACTCTACAAAAGACTTTTCTTTCACTCAGTATTTGCTAGCACCTGGGACTCAAGAAGGCTAATATCAATGGATCATTTTCTTTTGAGGTAGTCAAACTTTTTGTCTGTAGAAAAATCTTCCTGAATCTATTCAGTATCAAAACATGGGATGGGCCTGGCACGGTGGCTCACGCCTGTAATCCCAGCACTTTGGGAGTCTGAGTTCGGCAGATCACTTGAGCCCAGAGAGTTTGAGACCAGCCTGGGAAACATGGTGAAACCCCAGCTCTACTAAAATACAAAAAATTAGCCAGGCATGGTGGCACGCACCTGTGGTTCCAGCTACCCTGGAGGCTGAGGTAGGAGAATCACCTGAGCCTGGGAAGTCAAAGCTGCAATGAGCCGAGATCACAACCCTGCACTCCAGCCTGGATGACAGAGTGAGACCCTCTTTCAAAATAAAAATAAATAAATAAATAAATAAATAAATAGGAAATCACTAGTCCCAAACCACTTATCCTTGGAGAAACAAATCGCATGTTCTTTCCATTATATCACAATGCTGCTTTGTAAAAGTGGCAACTTTGGGCTGGCTTACATGAATCCGCTGAAACCTTTACAACGTATTGGCAGTGCTGCATACTTGGGGCTCTTGAAGTTAGGCCTGCAACCAGGAAGCTGGTGTACACCCTCACCTGGAGTGCTCAGCTTTGATCCTCCTTTTTTCAGAATGGCTTCATATCTATTTATTTGTAGCATAGTGCTTAACAGTAGGAAGTCTTGAGCCAAATGCCTAGCTTTGCCACTTACCCCTGACCTGAGCAAGTTACTTAGCTTCTTCAGGAGTCATTTTCCTGTATTGTAAATGGAGATGAGAATAGCACTTACCTTATAGGATTGTTGTGAAGATTAAATGAGTTTAGGAAAATACTCTATATAGGTCTGTTAGTATCATCCATTAATTTGCAACATGATTTCATAAATGCATCTAGAATATGCCTGTGTAAACCTATGGTTAGATGATGAAGCTAAGAAAAGCCCTGGTCCATCCCTGGAGAGTAAGAAACTAGTATACTCCTTTTACACGGTACCTTGCACACAGTACAGGCTTAACAGACATATTTAAATTGAACTGAAGCGAATGCTACTAGAACTAAAAGCGGTAGTTCCAGATCTTTCAGGCTCAAGGTCCAGATTTTACAAGTGTTTCTGATCACCCTCCCCCTACCTCATTTATCGCAAAGAGCGGAGGCCAGGAAAAGGATGAATAACCAATGACCTTAAAACCCAGGTGAGAGTAAAAACCAGTTCTGATAAACTGTGTGACATTTACATCCTGGTACCTGAGCTTTAGGTCACTCTGCATGTGTAATTCCTCTGCGCAAAGCCCAGGAGGCTACTTTTATATTATTGGGGCAAATCTCCCAACAGCCCTCGGTACTAAACGGCCTTCAGCAGGTGCTTCCAAATTTTCTTATTTGCTTCAACTCCCAGGTTGCTAGGGGAAGCTTGGCGACAGGTCTATACTCCTGGGCAGACTGAGTAACAGCAGGATACTTCAAGAGGTGCTCTAGGTCGGAAGGAAATAAATGAGACTACGATCAAGTAAAGTTTGGTAAAGGAAGAGACGCCTTCACCCCGACGACCAGGCGGTGGCTCCGCAGCACAGACTCTCTCCGCTGGTGGAGTTCCCACCCCGCCTCGACATAGTCCCGCCCCTACCCAGACCACTCCCACCAATCACCGCCCTCTCCCTCCCAGGCCCCGCCTAGAGCCGGCCCCTCTTAGAGCCTGCCCACCACCTGACTCCGACACTGCCGGGCTTAGTCCGCCGGGCTTAGTGCGCGAGGCGCTTGCGCATTTCTTGAGTTGTCGTGGCACTGCCCAAATCTAAATGGGGGAAAGAGGGAACTTCATATTTCCTACAGACTCCGCCACAGCGGCTTTTCGTGCTCTCTTAGAGCTAGTTTTGCCTTTCGTGATCCTGAGAACCCTGGCTTTTGGTTCCCCAATGCGGCTTAAGAGAGCAGGTTTTAAGTTAGGCGATCTTCGGGCAGCCCTAGTCCCGGCACCGGGTCCTTGCGCTGACTCTTGGGACCACAGCCTGGGAGGCGGGGTCCTTCTCTGCGGCGGTCGCTTTGGCAGCGCATGCAGGAAGCCGGACTCTGGGCGTCATGTACTACAAATTTAGTGGCTTCACGCAGAAGTTGGCGGGAGCGTGGGCTTCTGAGGCCTATAGCCCGCAGGTACGAGTGGCGCCTAGCCAGCTCGGACATGAGAAGTGGCAGCCCGAGCCTCGGCGACAAGCAGTCGCGGCGTTGGAGCCAGGAGAGGCTTCTGCCCGCTGTCGACTTCGTTTCTGTTCTCCTTGCACCTTCCGGGGCCTCACCACACCAGCGTACGGTGGTCACTGAGGCTTCTCTTTGTGTACCTGCTCACCTGGTGGGGCTGGCCTGGCGTGGAAGTTTGGTCTGGCACACTGCAGGGGTCAAGGTGACCCCTGCGGTCACTTGTCTAAAAGGGATGGTTTGGGGGAGTCCCCAGTGTGACCCGAGTCAGAGGTTCGGCCTTCTCCCTCTCTTTGAAGATATCTGGCTTTTGGCCTCCCTGTCGTTTCTTTGTCACCTCCTGCCACAGCCCCATAGGCAGCCTAACTTGAGCACGAGATTAGAGAGCGGGGATAAAGGCTTTTAGGGAAACCGTGGGGCAGGGGGTTGGGGGGCTGTGATCTGGGTTAGGAGATTTAACAGGTTACTTAACACGTTCAGGGAGGGAAGTTGCATGCAGCGAGGTTACACTTTCCCAATTGTAAAATGTTTGACCGATGCTCATTGTTTGGGTAGTCTGAAAAGTATTCCATTTCACGCAGGTTCTGCCAATTGGAGTTTGAGTCTCCATGTGTTGTGGGTAAACGAGGGATTTTAGAGCCCCAGACGTGCCTTTTCAAATCATGGCGTTTTCCGCTTTAATTGTGTGACCTTGGCCAAGTTACTTAATTTATTGTGAACTCAGCTTCATCCAGGGTGGCGTTAGTACACTTTAAATGAGGTGTGTCAAGTGACCAACAGTTTGGGCAGGTGATTGGTTCTGAGTAAGTGTGAACCGTTCATCAGAAGCTGTCTGAGACAGTATATTCCCTCATCCTCCTAGAGAAGTGTGGGAAGGGTCAGTGAGATACGCAGTTAGACTGCAGTAGTAAGGGACCCACGTGGGGTGTAAAGGATACTCCTTTACTGTTGCTTCATTCTCCTTTTTCTGTGGGACACTGCAACTTGCCCCAAGAGGCAGATGTTTAAGAAAGATGTCAGACCTGGTACTATAGCTCACGCCTGTAAATCACAGCACTTTGGGAGGCTGAGACGGCAGGGTCGCTTGAGCCCAGGAGTTTGAGATCACCTGGGGCAACATAGCGAGACCCTGTCTTTAAAAACAAAAACTAAAAAGCAGAATGATTCTAATCTAGGATAGGAAGGGCAAGTTTTTGTTGTTGTTGTTGTTGTTGTTGTTTTGCGGGAGTTAATGGGGGAGTTGCGGTGGGAACGGAAAGGAAGAGTTTAGGGTTTATAAATGTTGAGCTTGTGATATGTCATGCTTGGTAGCAGCTAGATTTTTGAATATGGAGTTTAATAAAGTTAGATGTCTTCAGCCCATAGGTGGTAGAATCTGGTGGGTAAATTACCCAGGAAGTTTGTAGGGAAGAAAGGTTGGATCATAGTTAAGAGTACAGAAGCATGAAGGGAGGGTGGAGAAGGAAAATGTGTTTAAAGAATAGACCGGGTGAGAAGGGAAACCAGTGTGGTGTCACCGAAATCAAATTGGTAATGACTTGTAAGGAAGGAACAGTCAGCAGTGTTACACTTCTTTTACAGATTATGTGGGGAAATGACCATTTCTATCATCTGCTCCTCTAAAGCGTATTCTTCAGTGTATGGATCTTAAATGTTACAGTTTGATGAGTTTGGACAAACCCACGCGCTGTATAACCACACCTCCCTCAATATACAGAATGTTACATCATCCCAGGAAGTTCCCTTGTACCCTCTGTCAATCCCTGCCACCTTCCTATTCTGACTTTTATCATCATAAATAGATAGTTTTCCCTTTTTTTGGACTTCATGTAAATGGAAGCAGCTCTCACCCAGGCTGGAGTGTAATGGCACAGTCATAGTTCGCTGTAGACTTTCATTCCTGGGCTCAAGTAGTAGTCCTCCTTTCGCCTCTGAAAATGCTGGGATTACAGATGTGAGCCACCATGTCTGGCTGCTAGCCTATTTAAATATTTTTGAGGTTAGTCCATGTTGTACGTATCAGTAGTTAATCCTTTTATCCTCTTATTCTTCTGTAGGGTTTCATTTTATAAATATATCACAGTTTATTCCGTTGGTGGTAGTAGATGTTCTTTTATTTTTTAAAAATATTTTTTGAGGCAGGCTCTTGCTGTGTTGCACAGTCTGATCTTGAACTTTTGGGCTCAGGCAGTCCTCTCACCTCAGCCCCCTGAGTGACTGGGGTTACAAATGTGTACCACCACACCTGGTTTATGTTCTTTTAATATATCTTTAGCCTAATCTAGGTTTTGTTGCTTAGTAAGAAAAAAGTAAATTTTTCGACTAAAAACTGGCATATTGTAATAAAATGGGCACTCAGCAGAGATGACCTTGAGATGAGTTTGATATAGATAGGGCTTTCAGATTTCTAGTACCTCTCCTCGTGAATCGTGTTTCTCTTGAGAATTTGAACTTCTTTAGTTACTTAAAGATGCCTCAAACTATGTTGAAAAGAAGTGATATTGTGTAGGCTTTATATGAATTGTAAATTTCTGAGTGATTGTGACAGGTGCCCTCCCAACTAGGTGCTCTGAGTTTGGTAATTAGGAGTATTTCAGCTTTTTCCTTTCCTGGAAATATATAATGAAGATGTTTGTAACTTTTAGTAGTAAGTAAAGTGAATAATTTACCATGCATTAAATAACATAACATGGAAAAGGTGGTTCAGTAACAATTGCACAGATAGAGATTTGTAAGTCAGCTTGACAGCGAGTGGTTGGTGGGATAGCGTTTTCCATTGGTTGAAAAGCGTCTTCCTTATCTTTCTCTGAACTGCGTCAACAATAAATTGAGACCAATAAGCACATGAACATGTTTAACATCTTTAGTTATTAGAGAAGAGCAAATCACAACCACAGTGAGATACCATTTAATATCCACCAGAATGCCTAGAATCAAAAAGACAGACGATAACAACTATTGGTGAGGATGTAGAGAAACATTTGTGGTGGGATGGTGGGAATGGTAAAATGACGCAGCCACTTTGGAAAACAGTTTGGCAGTTTGTTAAAAAGGAAATATAATTTTACTATGTGATCTAGGAATTCCTCTCCCAGTTAAGGTGGCAGAATGGTATTCTAGATAAAGGGAACTGTGAGAGTAATGGAAGGGAGGGGGTCTGGAGGAGAAGTGTTGAGTAGGTAAGTTTGACTGTGGAGGATGGAGGTAAATCATGAAGGGCCTAGGATGGTAGGACTTAATTTTGTGAGGCACGAGTAGGAAGTTACAGAGCAACTTGATGCAGAGTTGTGGTAGAGTTTGTCCTTTCAGATGAGACAGATTTTGGGGATGAGGAGGGAGGGCTTCAGGATGATTGGTGAATTGGTGCTTTTCACAGTGACAGGGAGTTCCTGAATGGGCTTATGAGTGAATTTTGGACATGATGAGTGTGCGGTGTCAGAAGGACACGGAGGTAGGTGGTGATGTCTAGCTTACAATTAGAAATAAATAGAGGTCAGGTGTGGTGGCTCACCCTGGTAATCCCAGTGTTTTGGGAGGTGAGGGCAGGAGAATAGCTTGAGGCCAGGAGTTTGAGACCAGCCTCGGCAACACAGTGAGACCCCATCTCTACAAAAAAAATAAGAAAAATTAGCTGGGCATGGTGACACATACTTGTAGTCCTACCTACTCAGGAGGCTGAGGTGGGAGGATCACTTGAGCCCAGGAGTTTGAGGCTGCAGTGAGCTGTGATCAATGCATTGCACTCCAACCTGGGTGACAGTGTGAGATCCTGTCTATAAACAAAACAAAACAAAAAGCCAAATGAATTGAGTCATTGCAGATTGAAACTGGTTTCCAGTCCTAAATTACAGTGAAAAGGTTCGTACATTTCTATCATTTAAAAATTAAAATTATGAGGAGTAATCCTCTTTTCTCTCCACCCTCGTCCCCAAACCTAAGAGGTAGAAGAAAAGGAAAATGTTACAACCAACTTTTAGAGGGAAAATCATTTTTACTTTTCTTTTTTTTTTTTTTTGAGACGGAGTCTGGCTCTGTGGTCCAGGCTGGAGTGCAGTGGTGCAATCTCAGCTCACTGCAAGCTCTGCCCCCTGGGTTCACACCATTCTCCTGCCTCAACCTCCTCAGTAGCTGGGACTACAGGTGCTCGCCACCACACCTGGCTAATTTTTTATATTTTTATTAGAGACGAGGTTTCACCGTGTTAGCCAGGGTGGTCTTGATCTCCTGACCTTGTGATCTGCCTGCCTTGGCCTCCCAAAGTGCTGGGATTACAGGCGTGAGCCACTGGGCCCGGCATGTTTACTTTTCTCTTTAAAAATTGGGAGCAATTGAAATAAACCAGGAAAAACTCAATTACTAAACATGGTTAAGGTTGAATGGTTCTTAATTTTGGAGGTGGGCTTATTTAAGCAGCTAAGAGATTCAGTATTAAAAAGTAAAGTATGTGATTTTTCTTGATCTATGGTCCACTTATTTTTAATTTTATTTTGATACAGGGTCTCTGTCGCCCAGGCTGGAATATAGTGGCATGATCATGGCTCACTACAGCCTTGACCACCTGGGCTCAAGTCATCTTCCCACCTCAGCTTCCTAAGTAGCTGGGACCACAGGTGTGCACCACTGTACCTGGCTAATTTTTTGATATTTTGTAGAAACAAAGTCTCAATATGTTGCCCAGGCTGATCTCAGACTCCTGAGTGAAGTGATTCTCCCACCTCAGCCTCTCAAAGTGGTGGGACCACAGGCATGAGCCATCACACCCGGCCTGTCCACTTATTGTAAGAACAGCTTTCAGTTATTTTCTTATTGCTGTGGGAATTGTGGATGCCCTGCCATCAAATACCAATTTATCAGACTTTGTTTTTGAGATACTGAAACCTACATTGTGGTGAAGCTATAGCCTTCTTTAGTTTATTTAAACATTCTGCATGTATTTAGTGAATGCGCTTTCTCTGCCA